AGATCATTTGACAACCAAAAAAAAAAAAAAAAAAAAAACCAGAAAGCACAAAGGATTGCAAGTTAGCAAGCAGTATATCCTAAATTTGTTCCAGATTATACAAATGTAAAACATTCATAAATTTCAGTACTTTTATAATATATTTTTAAATTTCAGTTACCCAGTATACAGCTGTAACCCAGTGTACAGCTGAAAGCAAAGCACTCATAGATCAGGACAGACACGGAACAAGTCAGGGTGCCCTTCACGAACCTAAAGTCCTAAAAAGAAAGACTCATTTCCTCAGACAGGTAGGAACCCCATCAGGCCTAGAGACCATGGTATCATCTCCTCAACCCTCAGGCATGAGCCACACTTCTGAAATACAAGTCAGATGGTGTCCTCCCTTTGCTAAGTCCCTTCAATAAGTCACCCAGTGCTCTTGGTGTAACATCTAGGTTCCTTAACAAGACACACAAGGGCCTCATGACCTGAGCCCTGCCTATTTATTCACTCTCATTTCTTGCCATTCCTCCATACACACACCCTACACTTCAGCCACACTGAGCCCCCAGCAATTCCAGCTCTCTCCCTCTGCTAGGCCTTTTTCATGAGAATCTCCCTCTGCTAGAATACTTTTCTCCCCCAATTTGTTTTCCTGGTGAAGTCTTAACACCCCCTTCAAAGATCATCCTAAACACCTCCTCTGCAAAGCTGTATTGAGCATCTACTATGTGTGTGCCACAGTGTAGAACAAAGCAGAGATGGTAGAATTAAATGTACCCCTTAGTACCTTTAACAACCTCTGTTCCTGTCTAGGGTACTAGTGCCTTCTATATATTATCACCATCTCCTCTGCAAGGCTGTAAGTACCCTGAGAACAGGACTTCTGTTTTATTCATCTTCAACTCCTTCTTATGGAGCCCATGAAATGCATCAATGACTGTATCCTGGAGAGTTCCAGTTAAGATGGCAGCGTAAACACTGCTTCCCTCCTCTCACAACCACATCAAATTGACAACTAAACTATAAAACAACTATCATTCAGAAACAATTACAAAATTAAAGAAGAAACCATATCGAAACTGGCAGGAGGAGCACAGACACAGAATGGGTGGGTCCCACACCCATGTGTGGCGGATAAAAACTGCGAGGGATATCTCAGGAGCGAGGGGTTCTAGCCTCACAAGAGGCCCCAGAGTCTAGCTATAAAAACCAGTGGGGAGTGAGGCTGTGAAAGACATAAACTGCTGGACTCCCTAACAGTTCCTCTTAAAGGGCCCATACACAGACTCACTCGGACTCACTCCTTCTGAGCTCCAGCATGGGGGCAACAGATTGAAAGGCATCAGAGATATATACAGGGAGTAACTGAATTATCCAGCATCAGGGCAAGAGCTGGGGGGTGGCTTTCTCCCAGATAGAAGTGCTAGCAGAGGCTACTGTTCCTTTTCTGAGCCCTCGCACTGCAGAGCTAGAGTCAGCAGGCGGGCACCTGAGATTCCATCAACCTGGCTTACATTGTTTGTCCCACCCTTGTGATTCCCTGAGTCCCTGTCCCACCCAACTTTCAGGCCTACCCAAGCTGTTTCCAGTGGCTCTTGCATATGAATGGCTTGTCTTGGTCCATGCTTCAGATTTTCCTAAATTCTCTCAAACAGCATCTGGCTTCAGCAAGCCCCATACATCTAGCTAAGTTGCCCCAGGCCAGCACCAATAACAGCTAGCCTTGGTTCACAGGTTGACCTCACCTGGACACCTCTAAGCCAGCACGAATAGCAGCCATCTACAGATCACTCTGTAGCTTATGCTGTGTGACCCCAGACAGAACACAGACAGTGGCTGACCTAGGAAGTGCCAACAGCAATCAATGCTCAACTACAAAAGGGGAGTGTATGTAGCCCACACAGTGGGCACACCTTGAGTACCCAGCTTGTGTAATAGGGGAGGCTGTGCCACTGGACCTTACAGGACTCCTACTGCATTAGGGCCACTCATATCAAGCCTGGGAGACATAGCAGCTCTACCTACTACATAGAAACAAACATAGGGAGGCTGCCAAAATAAGGAGGCAAAGAAACATGGCCCAAATGAAGGAAGAAAACAAAACCCCAGAAAAAGAACTAAACAAAATGAAGACAAGCAATCTACTAGATGGAGAGTTCAAAACACTGGTTATAAGGATGCACAAGGAAATTAATGAGAACCTCAGCAGCCTAAAAATGATCCAGTCAGAAATGAGGGATACACTAATTGTAATAAAGAACAATTTACAGGGAAACAACAGTAGAGTGCATGAAGCCGAAAATCAAATCAGTGATATGGAATATAAAGAAGCAAAAAACAACCAATCAGATCAGCAAGAAGAAAAAAATTCCAGAAACATGAGGATAGTATAAGGAACCTTTGGGACAACTTCAAGCTTACCAACATTCACATATTGGGAGTGCCAGAAAGAGAAGAGAGAGAGCAAGAAATTGGAAACTCATTTGAAAAAAATAATGGCAAAAAACTTCCCTAACTTGGTGAAGGAAATAGACATACTTCCTAGACAAACTTGGAAATAGACAAACTAGGAAATAGACAAACTTGGTGAAGGAAGTCCAAGAAGCACAAAGAGTCCCAAACAAAAAGAATCTAAAGAGGCCCACACCAAGACACATCATAATTAAAATGCCGAAGCTTGAAGACAAAGAGACAATTTTTTTAAATGATGTACTTATTTATTTTTTTAGAGAGAGGAGAAAGGAGGGAGAAACATCAATGCAAAGAGATACATCGATTGATTGCCTCTCCCATATCCCCAACTGGAGACCTGGTCTACAACCCAGGTGTGTGCCCTGACTGGGAATCAAACCAGCAATCTTTTGGTTCACAGGCTGGCACTCAATCCACTGAGCCACACCAGCCAGGGCAAAGAAAGTATCTTAAAAGCAGCAAGAGAAAAGCAGTTACCTACAATGGAGTTCCCACAAAATTATCAGCTGATTTCTCAAAAGAAACTTTGCAGGCTAGAAGGGATTGGCAAGAAATATTCAAAGTCATGGAAAGCAAGGACCTACAACCAAGATTACTCTCTAGATAGCTATCATTTAGGATCAAAGAACAGGTAAGGGCTTCCCAGACCAGAAAAACCTAAAGGAGTTCATCACCACCAAACCAGTATTATAAGAAATGTTAAAGGATCAAGAAAGAAAAAGAAAGAAGAAGGAAGAAGGGAGAAGAAGAAGAAAGAAGAAGAAAGAAAAAGAAGAGGAGGAAGAAAGGAGGAAGAGGAGGAGGGGAGAGTGGAGAAGGGGAGGGGGAGGAGGAGGAGGGGAGAAGGAGGAGGAGGGGAGAAGGAGAAGGAGAAGGAGAAGGAGAAGAAGAAGAAGAAGAAGAAGAAGAAGAAGAAGAAGAAAGAAGGAGGAGGAGGAGAAAAAAGGAGGAGGAGGAGAAGGAGAAGAAAATATGAATGGCAATAGCCCTGGCTGGTATAGCTCAGTGGATTGAGCATGGGCTGTAAACCAAAGGGTCACTGGTTTGATTCCCAGTCAAGGCACACACCTGAGTTGCAGGCTAGGTCCCCAGTGGGGGCCACATGAGAGGAAACCACACATTGATGTTTCTCTCTCTCTTTCTCCTTCCCTTCCCCTCTCTCTAAAAATAAATAAATAAAATCTTTTAAAAAATAAAAGCCCTTTAAAAATGTGAACAATAAAATGGCAATAAATATGCATCTATCAACAACTGAATCTAAAATTTAAAAACAACCCACAAACAACCATGCAGAACAGAAACAGAATCAAAGACACAGACAAGGTTTTGATGGTTGCCAGATTTTGGGAGGGGGCAGGTAGTCAGGGGAATAGGTGAAAAAGGTGAAGGGATTAAGAAGTACAAGTTGGTTGGTACAGAATAGCCATGGACATGTAAACTGCAGCATAGGAAGTAGAGTAGCCAAAGAACATATATGCATGACCCATGGACATGGACAACTTTATGGGGGCTGCCTGAGGGAGTGGGGGGTGAGCTAGGTGGAAGGGGCAAGGTGGGAAAGTTGGGACAACTGTAAATAGCAGTTTTATCATCAATAAAATACAATTTTTAAAAAATGTGCCCTGGCTTGTGTACCTCAGTCGATTGAGCATGGGCCTGTGAACCAAAGGACTGCTGGTTCGATTCCCAGTCAGGGCACATGCCCAGTCAGGGCACATTCCCTTGCAGGCCAGGTTTCCAGCAGGGGATGCATGAGAGGCAACCACACATTGATGTTTCTCTCTCTCTTTAAAAAAAAATGCTTGCTAGACTCATTTACTCAAGGATTCATCAAAAATATTCAGCAATACAAGTTGCTGGTTATATAACCAAACCAACAGACACTGTCCCTGCCCTCTTGGGACCAAAAGTGCACTTGATAGAATGAATGATGTGTGAATGAATGAATGAGTTAACGATGAATCAGGGAAGGAGTGTGCTCCTCCCCACCTGGATGGGGCAGCCCATAGCAGGGGATGTGCGGGAAGGAGAAGCTGGTGGCTGGGAAGCTGGGGAAGTTGCTGTCCTTTTGTTCTTTCTGATACAGGGAAACTTACTAGCCATGGGACCTTATGCAAATCCTTTAGCCTGTTTGCACTTTCATTTTAATGATATCATAACAGGGTTATGATTACAGGGTTATGATTACACGAGATACTGCATTTAAAAGCAGAGGGGGTCTAGGAACTGGTAGTTCTCATTACTTGCTCAGTGTGAGTGCACAGTCTCAGAAACACAGCAGGAGAGCCTGCTGGGGCTAACATCCCCCTGCGGCCCAGGTGCCATGCCTGGTCCAGCGCTCTCACTTCAGACCCGCTGGAGGCACCTCCCCTATCCAGCCCAACCCCCAACCCTTCTTGGCCTCCCTCTCTTCACTGCCCAGTTCTGTGTTTACTTCCCAGTGCTTTCAGGGCCAGAGGTTGTCTTACATATCCTTACAGGCCTAGAGAGGGGGATGTGGCGGGAAAGGGCCCAAAGAACAAGGGAAGAGCGCCGAAATTTACCGAGGTTTCAGGTGTGCCTGGCGCCAGGGTCGGTGCTTCGCGTGCCTTATCTCCTGTCATCTTCGTTACAGTACCATTTTACAAACGAGGAAACTGAGGCTCGGGAAGATGACAGAAGTGGGACATGAAACCAAGTGTCTCTATGATTCCAAAATAATTTTCCTCTGTGCCACACTGCCTACCAGCTTATACATGATCATTAAATGTTTGTGAAATAAATTTCCATTTTCCTATTCCCCGGAAGAGCAGAAATTGTGTTTTTCTGCCCCAGAGAATCCAGATACATATTCAAACAATGATGAATAAACAAATAAATAATAAAAAATATGGATGACTGAAATCCCTCAAATACCCCATACCAGGAAGGAGGAAACAACCCTGAGGGCGGCGCCTTGCAGGAAGAAGCCCGAGACCGTCTCCCCTCGCTGTGGTCTGCAGTGCCCAGAGGAGGGGCAGAGGGCGGGCAACACTGGAGGGCTAGGAACTGGCTCAGTTGTTGGGAGTGGGGAGCTGGGAGGCAGGAGGGAGGGTGGGGATGTTACTGGGGGAATGTGATGTAGGGGGAGAGAAGGCGGATGATTGACCGGGGCACAGAAAGGGAATAGAATTACCTGGCACCCCGACCACGCCCCTCGGGAAGGAGCCAAGAAACAGCCTCCTGACTCCGGGTCAAACACATTGCCAACTTTGAAAAGAAAGTTGCAAAATCCCAAGGGCCACTCCGAAAGGCTACTCCGGAAGGGAGGTTGCTAAGGGAACAAGGTACGATCTGCCTCCTTCTCATTGCCCTCTCTCTCACTTCCTGCCCTCAGCCCCCCTGGCCACACGGAGGGACTCCCTCCACCGGCTCCCAGCACCCGCACGCAGCTTACCTCCTTCCCGCGGGAGGCGTCCGAGGCAGGGCAGGCTGCTTTCCGTGTTACCTCCCGGGCGGAGGGGTGCCTCTGCTGCCCTGAAGTTCTTGCCCTTTTTCTGGGTGATCCTTGGCCCCTCCTCGAACTAAATTTGTCTGGCAAGTTCCCAGCCACCCTGCCTTGGGGGAGGGAGCCTGAGGAAATCCCCTCCCAGCCTTGAGCCTGGGCCTGGGCCGCCGCCAGCCAGCTCCGCAGTCTCACTCCTGGGCTGGCCCTCGATGAATGAGTCTTCCCCCTCCGCCTGCCTGGGACTGAGCCAGGGAGCCTGTGCCAGCCTCCCCGCTCTTTCTCCGTGGCTCTGACAGGGAGCCCCATTCCTCCTCCAAGTCCTACCCTACTGCTCTATGACTGGGTCTTCTGCCTTGCAATCTCAGCTCTCTAGGAAAGCCCTTAGCAAGGTGGTCTCTACTTATCCAGTTGTGCTCTGGTAGAAACCCAGGCCTGGTACTGGGCACCAGGGTAGGTGACCTGATGACTCTCAGCAGGGGTTTAGTCACAAGCCCCAGGCTCTCTCCATTAAACTGGTTGTACATTGGGCCCTGGTGAAATATATCTGCCAGTTTCTGATTATTCATTCAATGCGTTTTGAGAATAACTCGCCTGTGCTAGGCCCTAAGGATGAAGAGGTGAATTAACATGGTCTCTGACATCATGCTGTACGAGGAAGAGAACAAAGAAGTATTTCTGTAGCTGTCCGCCCAAAATTCAGGCATCAGAAAACGGGGGATTCATCCCCTGCGGGAGGTTCTGGGAAAGCTCTTGGAGAAGATGACAGGCAAGGTGGGTTTTGAAAGATGAGTAGTTCTCCACAGCTGCAAGGGGGAAGGGAAGCGCAGGCGGACCCAACAGGCCAGGCAACTGGGCGGTCTCTGGCAGGAGCCTCTGGAAGTCGGAGGAGGCGTGAGCCGGGGTGTCAGATCAGGAAGGGCCTTGTGCACTTTGTTAGAGGACTTGGATTTATCCTACAGGCACTGAGAGTCACAGAAAGGTTTTTAACAAGGGAGACAAATTTCAGATTGCACTGGAAGCGGATGGCTGGGGCCTGCAACGTTAAGAGTGGTTTTGAAGGGACAAGATTGGAGGCAAGAAGACCAGCCAGACTACAGTAAATGCTAAGGCAACAGATGATATGGGCTTAGCCAGGACCCAGGCAGGAGCCAGAAGGGAAGGGATGGTTTCAAAGATGTTAAGGGGGTTAGCACTGATGGGGGTTAGTGAGTAAGGGAAGAATCTCCCTCTCACAAGCTAATTATCTCCCAAGGACATCTCCAAATGCCAGCACATTGGGGGTTAGGGCTTCAGCATATGAATGGAGGTTGGCGGGGTGGGGAGCGGGGGATGATACAGTTCAGTCCATAGCACCAGGCATACTGCCCACCAATGAAACTGGGCAAGAAGGGAAGACTCAGAAGCCATAAGAGAAAATGAGAACTGGAGGGGACAGAGCAAGTACGGTGAAGGGGTGGGGAGCCCTGGGAGGTGCCTGGAAGCACTAGAGAGGGGCAGCTGAGGCAGCTTGTAGGGAGCTCATGCCTACGTATGAGGGAGGTGCACCCCGCCCCTAATTTCTCACTCACATAGGTGGCAAGGTCACTTGCTAGAAGTTAGAGAGATCAAGGTTGAGCGGAAGATTGAAGCAGTTTGTCAAATGTTTGAAAAAAAGAGCTGGGAGGAGAGAGAAAAGTGACCGATGTAATGTAGAGGTCCACAGAGAGATGCCCAGAACCCCAGCAGAAAGGCAAAGGCTCATAAGGAGATGAGCGTGAGGAGCCCTCAGAAGTGAGAAACTAAGAAAAGCAGGTCCTGTCCTGAGTGGTATCACACAGTAAGGTCCATGCAAAATGGATGAAGCCCAGGGTGAATGCCACCACCCTCATTCAGCCCCTAGAACTAGAGACTGAGCTTTCCCATAAGATAGAACGTGTCTACAGAAAGAAAGTAGACTTCTCTTTGACCCCAGCTCAAAAGGTCTATGGGCAGCCATAGAAGTGCAAAGAGCACACGGGACAAACATTGGCACCGGGGAGGGTCGCAGAACTGTGGCAGGTCCACCCTGGTTCTCCCACCAAAGAACACTGGACCCACGCTGTCAGACATGCAGCTGACCATGTCCACCTTCCAACCAACCTCCCTTGTTCCCATTTCATCCTCAGCGAGCTGCTTCCTAAGCTGTATGATTTCAGAAAGGGAAGGCCCTCTGCCCACACCCAGCACACATCCGTTAGGAAGCTCTCAGAGAACAAAACCTGTATCTTATTGTCTGTGTGTCCCCAGCACCCAGCACGGGGTGTAGCATTGCGATGGGATTCAAAAAAGTTATTTGCAAAACAGATCTGAGGAGGGGTGATATGAATATTTTTTGTAAATTAATAAATTCTTATTCAGGAGCTGTACATCGGTGGCCTGCAAAGCTTATTAATGTGAATCAGTACCTATAAATCACATGAGTTCTGAGATATTAACAAGCTCATGTTTCTAAGCTGGCAAAAAAATAGAGTCTGCCCCTGGACTGGGGTGTTTTCGCCGAGATCATGCCGCTTTGGGGCCAATGAGTCAGTCTGTTTGGCAATGCTACCCCCACCTAGTAACATCCCTCCCTCCCTGTCATGAAGCTTAAAGGGTCTTTTCCAGTTTGGATGTTTCAATTAAAATTCCTACAAATGTTTGTGTGGCTTTTTTTTCCCTCCAGCAGCTCTTTGCTGCTCAGGTAAAGAACAAAGAAGCAGGGTGTAGGATTGATTCAGGCTTGGGCACTGCAGAAACACGAGGGCTAGGTGTCCTTTCAGATCACCACGTCCCCATTTCTCCGAGAACAGCTCCTATCCACCCTCCCTCGGGACTTTGACTGTCTTGTATGTATCTGTGACCAGCATTGGTCACCATGGCTGGACCAGAGAAGAAAAACATTTGACTCAGGTAGGGCCAATTCATTTCCCTTCCCTAAAAATCTCAGTGGAGACAGGAAGACCCTCCTCCATCTCTGCTTGTAGCTACAACTTAAAAAGTAAGTCTGGGAGCTAAGGGGAGTCCGTGTGTGGAGGTGCAGAATAGACTAACCTCTTTCTGGGCCCTCTGAGCTTACCACATTGTACAGGGAAACCCCAGTCTTTCCCTCTTCTGTGTCTCCTTCACTGCTCACACAGAATGCTTCACCTCGGACAATTCTGGTCACCAAATGTGAGTGGGGGCTCCCCCACCAAACAATTCTCTGACACTAGCGGGTGTCCTACCATTTAACTCAATCCTGACACTATCTACCTGAAAATAGCCCACAGATTAAGGGCCCAGTCCCACCAGACTGCCCCCCACTTCAGATGCCAATCACAAATAGTAAGCCCCCAGGTTACCCACAACTTCCGTCCGACTTGACTACAAATTGGAGCTTCTGTATTCCCCTCCTCAGGGTTTGATTAATTTGCTCCAGTTGCTCAGGAAACTCAGGGTAACACATTTACCAGTTTATTAAATGATACGATGAAAGATACAGATGAAGAGACACTGTGGGTGAAGTCTGGGAGGGTCCCAATTACAGGAGCTTCTGTCCCCGGGAGTTGGAGTGTGTCACTCTCTCAGTATGTGGGTGACTTTACCAACCTGGAAGCTCTCCGAACCCCATACTACCGGGATCTCATGGAGGCTTCTTCTCGTAGGCATCAATTACTAACTCCATTTCTAGCCCCTCTCCACTCTCCAGAGAGTGGGGATGGGGCTGAAAATTCTAAACTCTAGTCCTAGCTTGTTCTTTCTGTTCAGTGCCCGTCCGGGCGCCCACCCTGAGTTGCCTCATTAGAACAAAAGATGCTCCTACTACTCTTTCTACCTGAGAAATTACAAGAGGTTTAGGAGATCTGTGCCAGAAACTGGGGGCAGAAACCAATATATACTTTCTATTATTTCTCACACATCCTCACACCTACACAATGTATTACATTTTCTGTATGTGTCTTCTTCTTACCCTACAAAAGGGCATGCCCTAATATTGTGAGTTCTTCCAGAGCAGTAACCTTCTCTGTTTCATCTTTGTATCCATGCAGTTATTCCCAAAATCCAAAACAAAGTATGAAACAGCTTTGTCTGATGTGGCTCAGTGCACTGAGCGCCCGGCCTGTGAACTCAAAGGTCACCAGTTTGATTTCCAGTCAGGGCACATGCCTGGATTTCAGGCCAGGTCCCCAGTTGGCAACCGATTGATGTATATCTCACACATTGTTGTTTCTCTCAGTCTCTTTCTCCTTCCCTTCTCCCCTCTCTAAAAGATAAATAAATAAATAAAATCTTTTAAAAGCCTGTTCTAAATGTGTCAATTAGAAGTACTACTGTCTGGTGTGGTTAAGTGGACTGAGTGCCGCGCTGCAGACAGGAAGATTGCTGGTTCCATTCCCAGTCAGGGCACATGCCTAGGTTGCATGCAGGCCAGGTCCCCAGTTTGGGAAGTGCAAGAGGCCCGATGCTTATCTGACCTTGGCTGGCATGTAAGGAATCTGTGGGAGAAAAAAAAATAAACAATGGTGAGAAGCCTACTTGCTCTGGGGGCACATATGGATTCCTAGTGACCTAATACCTGTGTTTTCGTGAGCCACGGGGGTGAGGGACCCTGAGCCTGAAAAGAGTAGAAAGTAAAATCAGAGATCAAGCTTTAGCCTTGCCAAGCCCCAAACCACTCATATCCTCAGTTAGCAGTGAACAAACTAAAAAAAAAGAAAACAACAACAAAAAAAAACCCCACCAAACTAGGGGGACAGTGGGGATGTGGACCTATCTTATCTTAGCCTTGGATCAAAGTAAAGTAAAAAATAAACAAACAAGAAAAGGTCTCTCCTGAGAATCCAGCACTCCACACCTCCACTCATATGTATTTACTTAGAGACATAGTCAACTTACCTGTTTCAACTCCAAGATGAAAATCTGAAGTGTTTCTGGATTATTAGAACCTATAGGCACCTGGAAGAAGCGAACCCAAACTTTCTCTTGAAGCATGCCCTTCACCCCAGACCACAAGGATTTCCCACCAAATTTCACGTAACATGTCTCACAAGGTTTTCTAAAAGTCTCTAGCCACACAAGAAAACAAATCCCACAAGTAGAAGCGACCAACCTCAGAATCATACCCCTAAAGATCAGAGACATTGTTATCAGCTATCTAACATAATTTAATTATGTTTCAAGTTAAAATAAATTGAAGAGGGAATTTAAAAGTACAA